TTAGGCTCATCGTTATCCGATTCCTCAAATAACACGGCAATTTAATCTTTTAAACTCCTTTCCTGGGAATCGCTTATACTTGAAAGTCATGTCCACTGCCTCAACATGCACAAAAATTCGGTGGGAAATTGTTATAATTTGGTTTTGTTCACTGTGAAATTGTTTTCACACAATTGAGGTTAATTACATGGCTGACTAACCATAGCTCTTAACCTTGGTCATTAAAATTGTTTCCTTATGGAGGAAGAAGAAAAGAAAAACACCATGCCAAAAAGAAAATCTACCATAGAGAGACAATGAATAATGGGTCCATGGTAATTTGTAAAATTCCTGTAAAATTAGAAACAAACCTGGAAAAGGCAACGGCCAAAAGAATAGAAGAACGAATTGAGACTTTTCACGCAAAGTAATTGTCAGGTCAGTTCGGTGTGCACTTCCCCGGCAACTTATCTCTGATCATGACGATGATGATCAACGTCATCATCAACGTTGTCAGTAAACACTTAATCCTCTGGAAGCAATGACTGCCAGAGGCATAAATGGAATTCATGGTCGTAATGTAACAATAGCCCCATGCCAAAGAAGTAGCCTGGTGATCATCATCATTATTAGTTTTACTATTTGTATAGAAAAACAACCGGGAAACCAAGAATGGATAGCATAAACCAATCCATGATTTTTTCCATCCATACAAATCCATGAATAAATGCCAACAACAGCAACAAAAATGTAGTAGCAGCAAATTGAAAGATTTATTAGGTTGCGCTTCATTGAAGATGACGCTAAAAACAGTTGTTGGTCTTTTTTTTATCAGTCAGTAGATGACTGAGTGACTGTCTGACACTCTAGTTGAAATGAATGAATTTACAAGGGTCGATGGTGACTGACGGCAGTGGCGGCGGCAAGGAACAACGGCTGGTAGAGGCAGTTACGTTCAGAAATGCGTTAAGGAATGTTGTTTTGCTGTGATGTTACATGTGCCACTTCACAGATTGTGGAATACAACACTGCCAGCACCATAGCCATTGTGATGCCCCACCACCAGCCAGCACCAACTACTGCAACAACAACTAACATTATATTGTTAATGAATTTATTGTAAAAATGCAATCATCGACCACAAAAAGAGTCATTACACAAAGTGCAACAGCAACATGTTGTGAGCACTCCAAGAATGATCGGTGGATAGAACGACCACAGCAAACAACGAACGAATCACCCTCCATAAAAAGTCAAAACATTTGAAATGGAATAATGGAAGTACGGTTGTTGTCTGTCTGTTTTGCTGTCCCCGGGCTAAACATTTTCATCAAATTTCATTTTTTTGAACGAAAAAAAAGTTTTTGAAATATTTATTGACTGATGACACTATCGATGAGGATGAAGCAAATGTATAGGCGATAGGAGTGTCAAAATGGGCACTGAGGTCCAATAAAAGAAAGAAGTAATAAATAATCGAAATGTGGGAGACCTGAGCTTTGAAGAAAAAAAAAATATTTTTGTAGGCTGAGCAAAAGAGTTGCAATAAATTCTGAAAGGCTTCGGCAAATATTTTAAGAAGTAGTGCTGATAAAATTTGTCAGTGAGAATATATAGGCAAATGTTCTTTAAGTCATAAATCATCGGCTGGCTTCTTCGAAAGATAGAAAAGTAGCTTTTTCGGGTTTGTCTACCTATTCCTACTTCATTCCAATTCTTGCTAATTTGTCATGAACCTGGTAGTCGGAATGTCTTGGGGAGTCGGGACAAGGTACATGGGTCAGTGCGAGTTATTTTAAAATTTTAAGGGCTACCTTGCCATCTAAGTAATATAACTGGACAGACGTAACATTTCCGTCATGTTGCCAGAATCTTTTCCGTACACATATTTTTTCATTTGAATCGAAAGAATTTCCAGTACAAGTCCTAAAAAATTGCTCGATTATTGGGTCAATTCATTGTCACAAGTAAGATAAAATTTACCCTTGACCTGAAAAAAGATTGTTTGCAGGAGTCAATAAGTCCAACTCCTAAAATAATTGATCGATTTTGGGTGAATTCTTCACGTGACCGTATTAGGTAGCTGTAAGATAAGTTATACAGCACTTTATACGTCACGATTTTTTTAAATCGAATCGAACTGTGATTTTAATCGACTAGTTGAGTTTCTTAAGCTTACAATTTTAGTATGTCCTGTGGCGCAATGGATAACCCATCTTTAAATTTCACAAATTCATAATGTTATTACACAATAAAATACTGAAAAGACTAAAAATGTGAAGTAAATTTTGAATAATTAATTTGATTTCGTAGTCTTTAATTTAAAGTATTTAAAACTTGGCATCGTCATTTTTCTAATAGCCGTACCCTTATTTTTTATCTGGAGCGAAAATATAACAGTTCCAGTCATGAAAGAGTTGGTCACTTATATGTGCTGAACACGGCTCAGTATGTATTATATGGATCCCAGGTCATGCGGGAATTAGAGGTAACGAGATAGCGAACTCTCTCGCAGAGAGTAAGCAACAGTAATTGTGGACAATCCAATACCGCTAAATGTGTCATGTCTAGAGTTGAAGACATGCGCAAAAACGGGGATCAGTGGGGTAACAGACATCTTCACGGGCCACCTGGGCCAACAAGCTGTACAAGACAGGTTATGCAGATAACAGCATATGCAGGACATGCGAGGAAGATAATGAAACTTTGGAACATTTTTATACTGGGCTTAGTGTATGTCCACCGGGATATGTGGAGATCGTTTCGTCTCTTTTTATACACTCCACCATACTATGGAGGGTATATTAATTTTGTCATTCCGTTTGTAACTCCTCGAAATACTCACGTCAGACCCAACAAAGTATATATATTCTTGATCAGCGTAAAATTCTAAGACGATTTAGCCATGTCCGTCTGTCTGTCTGTCTGTCTGTTGTAATCACGCTATCTTTCGAACAAATTGAGATAGAAGGCTAAAATTTTGCACACATGTATATTTTTCCAGTAGGCAGGTTAAGTTCGTAAATGGGTCACGTAGGTCCAAGTTTTCATATAGCCCCCATATAACGGTACCTCTCGATATTCGGTATTTTGATGATTTTAGCGACATTATTCACCGGAATTGTTTCAAATTTGGCATTTGAAGTTCGTAATGGATACTACAGCCTAAGACAGAAAATTATCTGTGCAGGTCCACGTCTTCGTATAGCCCCCATATAACGGTACCCCCCGATATTCGGTATTTTGATGATTTTAGCGACATTATTTAACGGAACCGTTCCAAATTTGGTATTTGAAGTTCGTAATAGATACTGCAGCAGAAAACAGAAAATGGGCCATGTAGGTCCACGTCTTCGTATAGCCCCCATATACCGTACCCCCCGATATTCGGTATTTTTATGATTTTAGCGACATTATTTAACGGAACCGTTCCAAATTTGGTATTTGAAGTTCGTAATAGATACTGCAGCAGAAAACAGAAAATGGACCATGTAGGTTCACGTCTTCGTATAGGCCCCATATACCGTACCCCCCGATATTCGGTATTTTGATGATTTTAGCGACATTATTTACCGGGATTGTTTTAAATTTCGCATTTGAAGTTCGTAATGGATACTTCAGCCCATGCCAGAAAATTGTCTGTGCAGGTCCACGTCTTGGTATAGCCCCCATATAACGGTACCCCCTATATTCGGTATTTTGATGATTTTAGCTACATTATAAACAAATTTTTCTTCATGTTTCGCATTTAAATGTTGTAATAACTTATGACAAAAGTTGCCTATGCATGTATACGTCGTCGTATAGACATTCGGTATTTTTAAGATTTGAACAGAATTTTTAAAGGATTTTTTTTATTTTATTTATTTTGGAAATTGCCAAATTTGTACCAAATGGTGGAGGGTATTAAAAGTTCGGCCAGGCCGAACTTACAGCTTTTTTACTTGTTTTTAACTTAACCATTTTAATATACTTGAAGCTTAGATTATTAATTTCTAGTAGAAAAATTTTACGCCGCTGGGCGGCTCTAAAATATTTAATTTTATGTTTTGTTCTCTTAATATGTCCTGTAGCACAATGGATAACCCATCCTAAGAACTGTTTTTCAATTGGATTTTTAGTTAATTTTATTTCATAGCCATTAATTTTTTTTCTGAATTACCGATAAGCCGACCTTTCGGGAGAATCCAACCTCGCTCTTCGGTTGTCGATTCGTTTCTAGTTTTCATTTAAAAATATGTTCCTTGAAAAAAGAAACTTCTGTAACTTAACCTAATCGCAGCCACACAATTATTCTTATCAATTCTAATATTGAATGGTGAACATTGCTGGACTTTTTATCCTTTCACTCAAGTGGTCTTGCATACCTATTGAACGCATCGATATCTGGGTGTGGAGTCATAACCTTTATTATCCTACACATTATCGTAATCGGGAGCGCACAAGATTGTATGCTGTATTTCATGGCAACTGAATAATTAATAATATTGGAATACTTTTTTTAATTGTTAATTTTTCCAGCGCCTCACCCGCACTAAAAAGTATGTATAAAAGAATTTTGCACACACATATTTCTTTGACAATCTTATTAGCACTTTTACACTGATTTTTTAAATTTGAGGCTCAGTTTTTGCTTAAACAACCCATCATTAAATTTGACTGACAATATAATAGAACAATAAAATATAATTAATTTTAATATCCCTCATTGATTTAATTGTACTCGTAGTTTTATTCTAAACTGACAAATTGCCGATTCTTCTCCACACATGAACATTAACCCAGCCACTTGAAACAATGTCTGCAAATTATTTGCTTTCATCACGCCCATATGAAATATGTTTTCAGTCTCATTAATGTTTACATTCTATGGGCAAAACATAAAATAAACAAACATTCATTGCAAATTCCTTCTCAAGAATCATAAAATATTCAAACAAATAAACAATCAAATCATAGTAAACAAACATTAGAAATGATTTCAAAACTAATAATAAAATTTTTCTCTTATCTTTTTACAGTTTTGGGAAGTCATTTCCGAGGAGCATGGCATTGACCAGAATGGTATCTACAAGGGTGATAGCGATTTGCAATTGGAACGCATTAGCGTTTATTACAACGAAGCATCAGGTATGATACCAAAGACCAAATGAACGAAAATTCATTGCATTCGATTTTCTTAATAGTCTAACCAATCTTAAAAAAAAATCCTTTCTAAAAACTTGTAGCTATTGCATGCCATTTAGATTTGCTATTTAGAGATACAATGTTATAGTTGATTTATTTAGAGAAAAATGCTCCGTTTTAATATCTTCACTGGATGCCGGCTGTGAGTGGGCCGAACATAATGCTGAAAAAAAGAAATGTGAAAAAATTAAACACAAGAAGAAGATTACAAGACTGGACAACAAAACTGCAACGCCTTACTTTCAGAAATCCATGATAACTCCATTTATCCACCCAACCAACCAACCAGCCATCCGTCCATCCATCAATCGACATTCTCGCACGCTTTCGATTTGCAATTTAAGTTAGCTATGAATCATATTAAGCTGCAATTTGTTTGCTTGTTTTATGTTTATTTTATTGTTGTTGTTTTTGTCCATAGTTAACACGCCTATTAGAAAAGTAGCAAACATGCTTGGATTTAATTTCTTTCGAGTAGCTGCAAAAAAAAAAAAAAAAAAAAAAAAAAACATTTTCACCAGCAAACAAAGAGTTAGGATGGCGATTAACAAAGGAGGAGGGTATGGCAATTTAAAGAAATTTTAAAAACTCCAAAGCGATTAGTAAATTTTCAACTTTTTTTGCTAACGGATCAATTTTCAAATGCGAAAGATAATTGGAATTCAAGTAAAGGCTACACTTGCGAGGCCGCATTTAAAATGGTGCATGTATGCTTTCAGGAACTGGAAAAATTGATTCGGATGTGTTATTCTTTGCACAACAGGACATTTTCAAGTGGAAAATACCGGAAAGCGGAATAAAAATTAATAAGCTCAACCAAAAGTTGAAGACTGTTGATGTCGAATATAGAATATGGCTTTAAAGAGATCTCAACTAAAGTTATTCGGATCAGATATTCACTGGCCTTAAAGTCATATGTGGAGAAATTTTGTTTAAAGGGAGATTTAAACTCGAATCATTTTACAAAGTGCTGACATAGTCAGTCAAAATGGGTTATTCATTTCAAAACTAATTTTTAAAATATGCATATCCTAGATTCTGATGTTAAATATGACCTAAAAGAGACCTTAACCAAAGTTAATCGGATGTGTTATTCACTGCCCTTAAAACCGTATGTGGAGAAAATTTGTGAAGAGAGATTTAAACTCGAATTATTTTACAAAGAGCTGACATAATCATTCAAGATGGGCTATTCATTGCGTTTCAGGACATTTCAAAACTAAAATTCAAATAAAGTTGCAAACTATGCAGGCATCTTTAACGAAAACACCGTTCCACTTATTTGCAACAGAATATTAACTTTAATAAAGATGTGTTATCCTTTGCGCTACAGGACACTTTGAAAAGCCAAATATATCAAAGAAGTTTATATTAACTATCAAAAGTCCTTCCGATGTTAAGTAAGTTTAAAAAGTGTCCTTCTCTCAACCTTCGGGTCACATGTTAAGAAAAATTTTATAGATTCGCATTTTTTCATACGACCAAAAGGTCGACGGAAGGACCCTTTTTACTTACGCAAGTTTCTTAAAAAAATATTTTTGCGCTGGAAGAAATGGTGAAAATTTTGACACCGACGCTCTGGCTAAGCAGTTTAGATGAGTTATCCATTGCGTTACAGGACATTTCAAAATAAATTTCAAACCTCAAGCCTATCAAAACAGCAGCTTGGGTCTTGAATCGTTCAATGAATGTATAAAAAAAATTATCCAAAATGCTCAATACTTTTTAAACTGGACAAAAATGTCTACACTTATATACTGACAGAGCAATCGCTCAAAATTGCTAGTTTTCAAATGTCTGTGTTTCAAATCAATTTTTTATATGTCCTGTAGGGCAATGGATAACGTAGCTTGGTTTTGATTATTGAACTATCTCTAATGATTATGAAAGCTAACCGATTGACATTTGTCGCAAGTTACCTCTCTTCAAACCTTTTCCTCCAAATTTAGCCGGCGAAGGTCGAAAGGTTCTCTGTTTCATTTCTATTTGTTCAATCTCTGGATATTTTTTCTTCTTTCTCCTAAAGTCTCTTCTTCCAAATTTAGGTAGCAGAGGCTAAGGAGTTCTCTAATTAATTTCTAAGCAAAGTTTACACACTATCATATTCTTCATTCTCTGGATAGTATTTTGCCCTTGGGACCTAAATGAAATACTCAGTTGATTCCTGTTTTTAATTCCCAAAACCTTTTCTACATTTGTCCTGTAGCGCAATGGATAACCCATCTTTTATAACTTTTCGGAGAATGGATAATTCTTCTTCCTCTTAAAGCTCACCACCCTCATATTTTCATAATACCACTGGATTATCATCCGACAATATTCTCTGGAAAACTGGGCGCGTTTTGTTTCCAATAACAGGTGGAACCACACATTCCCGTCTCCACAGCCAGTAGCAACAACATTAAGTCATAATAAAAATACCTCCCAATTTGGTGATATGGAAAAAGGCGAATTCATAAGCACATAGAAACAATTGCATTGTTGACCGCATTATTAAAAGTGCGTCACAAAGTCAATACTTAGTGAAAAAAAGTGGTTACTCTCTCTCTACGCAAGTTGTTCCAACTTAAGCTTTTGCACAATTGTTTGGTGGGACCATTGCATTCCTTCTATGGTCATTTGGTATCATGAGTGGTAGTTGTTCTTTTGTTGAAAATGCCTGCCTGCCTGCCTGACTGAGTGACTTCCTTCCCTTTTTGGTGTATACGCCGCGCATCGAGCAATGGACTGAGGCTTGATTGTGTGCGCTTGCGCTTGCACGTGCCAAGCATTTTTAAAGAAGTAACTCTAGAAGTGGTGTTGATGGCCATTCGTCGCAGCGCTATGATTTATTGAAATTGATATGACAGCTGCTGGTGGAGGTGGTGGGGTGCTGTGTGCTGGAGAGGCGTTCATACAAATTGAAGTCAATAGCCGAAATAAAGAAGAAATACACCCAAAATACGCACTTGACTCTGTGCTTTTCCTTTTTTTCTTCTTTTTTTTTTGGTGACAAACTTTTTGGCTTGCAATGAAATTCGGGTTAAATTTTTTTAAAAATAACTCCTTATTGGGAAAAGCAATGAAATAAATTAAAATGAGTTTCTGGTGAAAAGTAACAGAAGGGGAGGAAATGCCATGGGCAATTTGTGGCTCCCGAAATGCAAGGCAATGGATTTGAATATGAAACTTTGTATGGCGAAAGAGATGCAATAAATCATAATATGGAAAAAAGAAACAATTGCCTTTCCACAGTGGTGTCGATGGCATTTTAGAGGAAGAATCGCATTGATCAAAGTTTAACTCAGCATTTGTACCCAGGAACTAACTGCTTCACATCTCTATACAAATGTAGTCCTCTGATTCTGAATATAGTTAAAAAGAGGTCATATGTTGGGAAGATTTGTGAAGAGAGATTTAAACTCGAAACCTTTAAGAAAATTTAACATAGAAGACAAAGATGAATTATCCAATGCGTTACAGGACATTTTAAAACTTAAAGTCACATGAAACTTTTTGATGAAGTCAGCCAAACGGTAAGGTCTTCCGAAGTGGACTGGAAACATTTTAAGAAGAGCTGATATTGAACGTCAGGATGAGTTATTCATTGCGTTACAGGCCATTTTAAAGCTTGAACTTTATTAATAAAGTCAGCTAAACGGCAGGTCTTCTGATGTGGAATATAGTCAAAGAGAGGACATATGCTGAGAAAATTTGTGAAGGGAGATTTAAGTCGAACATTTTACGAATATCTGTCATAAAAAGCCATTATCCGTTGCATTTTAACTTAAATTAAACTTTAATCTTGAAGTCAGCCATACGGGAAAGTCTTCTGATGTGGAATATAGAGAGGGCACATGTTGAGAAAATTTATGAAGAGAGATTCAAACTTGGAACATTTTACGAAGATCTGTCATAGAAAGCCAAGATGAGTTGTCCATTGCGTTACAGGACATTTAAAAATTTAAACTAAAAAAAAAACTCCAGTACTAAAGTCAACCAAACGGTGAAGTCTTCTGATGTGGAATATATTTAAGAAGAGGACATATGTTGAGAAAATTTGTGAAGAGACTTAAACTCGAAAGATTTTACGAAGATCTGACCGAAAGTCAAGATGAGTTATCCATTGCGTTACAGGACATTTTAAAACTAAAACTCAAATCAAATGGAAAACTATGGCATTTCAAAGGAAGAATGGATCAACGTCTTAATTAAAATGGAATTATTGCATGCTTACTTTAGAACCTACCTCCAATTGCTCTACATCTCTCTATCCCATCTATAACCAACGTAGTGCTTGTTGTATACCGCTTTTTAGATCCCTCTCCCAACCCTATGTCTTCACACTGATCCTTTTCAATTTTTGCTTCCATTTCAGCAGCATCAAGGTCGTCGGGCGGTAAATATGTACCGCGTGCCATTCTCTTAGATTTGGAACCCGGTACCATGGAGGCGGTGCGTTCCGGACCCTATGGCCAATTGTTCCGTCCCGATAATTTTGTCTTTGGACAATCGGGTGCTGGCAACAACTGGGCCAAGGGCCATTACACTGAGGGTGCTGAGCTGGTGGATAATGTTTTGGATGTGGTGCGCAAGGAGTGTGAGAACTGCGATTGTTTGCAGGTAAGTTGTTGTGGAACACAATGTGAATGGATTAGAATTAATTTGATGACTTTTTTCTTCTAGGGCTTCCAACTGACCCACTCCTTGGGTGGTGGTACCGGATCCGGCATGGGTACCTTGCTGATTTCCAAAATCCGTGAGGAGTATCCCGATCGCATTATGAACACCTATTCGGTGGTACCTTCGCCCAAGGTATCCGACACTGTGGTGGAACCCTATAATGCCACCTTGTCCATACATCAGCTGGTGGAGAACACCGATGAGACCTATTGCATTGACAACGAGGCCTTGTATGACATATGTTTCCGCACCCTGAAGGTTTCAAATCCCAGCTATGGTGATTTGAATCATTTGGTCTCCTTGACCATGTCGGGTGTTACCACCTGTCTGCGTTTCCCAGGTCAATTGAATGCCGATTTACGCAAATTGGCCGTTAACATGGTGCCTTTCCCTCGCCTGCATTTCTTTATGCCTGGCTTTGCCCCGCTCACCTCTCGTGGTTCGGAAAATTATCGCACCTTGTCTGTGCCCGAATTGACCCAACAAATGTTCGATGCCAAAAATATGATGGCTGCTTGCGATCCCCGCCATGGCCGTTATTTGACTGTGGCTGCTGTCTTCCGTGGCCGTATGTCCATGAAGGAGGTGGATGAACAAATGTTGGCCGTCCAAAATAAGAACAGTTCGTACTTTGTCGAATGGATTCCCAACAATGTCAAGACTGCCGTATGCGATATACCACCCAAGGGCTTGAAAATGTCCTCAACGTTCATTGGCAACACCACCGCCATTCAAGATCTCTTCAAGCGTATCTCCGAACAATTCTCAGCTATGTTCCGGCGCAAAGCTTTCTTGCATTGGTACACCGGTGAGGGTATGGACGAAATGGAATTCACCGAGGCCGAGAGCAATATGAACGATTTGGTCTCCGAATATCAGCAATATCAAGAAGCCACTGCCGATGATGAATTCGATCCCGAAGTGCAAGCCGAAGAAGTTGAGGGAGATTGTATTTAATCAACATATCAGAGGAATGACGAGGAGCGTGCTTTTTTGGCGTTACGTGTGGAAAGGGAGAGACAACAGATTGTGGCCGAAAATGCAGCAGGATTGGCCCATGAAATACGTTCCCTGTTGCATACTTTAAGGTGTTTTCTTTAGTCATAGTAAAAACAAAGCGGCATACTTTAAGGTGTTTCATGTAGTATAAGAGAAATCTCTGTCTCTCTCGCGATTTGTTAACAACACGTAATCTCCCAAAGAATTGCTCATTGTACTCCCACTCCCCCCAAAAGAAAATCTTAGCTGTACTTTTTTTGAAAAACTAAAAAGGAGAAAGAGAGAAGATGAAAGAATTTAAATAAACGGAAATGTTCCAATTGATATCATTGAAGACTTCTGGCTCCTTGCAGAAGGCTCTTACTCACATTTAAGTAATAATTAAAGCAAAAACCAACAATTCTCTTCTTTAACTATAAGTATTCTCATCTAATATTTTTTTATATATTTTTAATTAAAACAAAATAATCATAAAGCGAATCATTTTATAAATTATAGTAGTAGACCCCATTGGCAAAGACGACATACTAAAAACTCATTACAATTTAATTATATTGTAAGCACCTCTGAAGCATTTCTCTGTCTTCATATAAAAACTGTCTGTCTATTTATCTGTCTGTCTGTATGTCTTGCTGTTTTTACTTCTTGAACCCTCTGTAACCTAATTTTTTGGCATTCTTCATCTTTATCTCTATATAAAAATTGTTAAGTATTATAGGCGAAAAAAAATTCATTAGAAAAACAAACAAAATCATAAATCCAACACCATTAACTAAGACTGACCTTTTGACCTTTGTTTTGTATTCTTCATCATGGAAATTGTATAATTTTTCACATTATCATCATTTTTTCAATATCATCATCATCAACATCATTAACCACATACATCATCATGTCGTGTCGTTCTTTAACCAAAGTTGCCCACTTCTACCCCACTTTTCCCAATTTTGTGTTAAGTTTTTTTCTAATTCTTCTTCGTAATCCAAAATGTGGCAATATAATTACACAATACCAGCTTTTATCCAAAGATTGCAATGTTTTTGTTTAAAAAAAGAGTATCACTTCATTTCATTAATACAAACATAATAATTTTATTTTTTTATAATAATCGAACACATTTTTTAAACATTAAAAAAATATTTCTTTTTATTTATATATATTCATAACTTTGTCATAATTTTTTTAAAATGCATTTCTTTTTTAATAATTAAAACGAAAAGAATAATTTGTTTCTTTTTCTAATTTGCATTGGACACAAAAAAAAAAATTTCGCAACAGAAATTCTGTATTTCTCTTTTTTATGCTTAAGCAAATTATGTAATTTTTTTTTTAATAATTTCCTAATTTGAGTCAAAATAAAAATTTTGTTAAAAATTAATAAAATATAATTGTGTTTTTTATAAATCTACTGTAAGAAGCATGGTAGCAGTGGCTTGTTGCTTTTTTGACCATATGGAGCTGTATCGAAAACTAAAATTGAGCTACGGCCTTAAAAATTGCGTAAAATGGGGAAAAATGGTTTAAAAATCTTAAGCCTAATGCCGATTTGTGGCGGGGGTGGGGGAACAAGGTCAAATGCTAACATCGGGGGACCATTATACGTTACGTTACAAATGGGGCAGATATTAGAAATTTTTCTCAACGCAACATGGCCATTTTCAATCTCATAATATGATCATGATCCAAAGCATTGTCAGTGAATATCGCAGACGGACATGTGTAAATTATCTCATAATTTTACGGGAATCAAGAAAAGAATAGTGTTGACAATTAAAAACAAGTAAAAAAATATTAAGTGCGGCCGGGCCAAATTTTTAATACCCTCCACCTTAGGGTAATGGAAACACTAGAACCAACTATGACCCACAAATACCAATTTTTAGATATATTCGTGGGAAAATGTTGCAAAAATCATCGAATATCGGGAGGTACCGCTATATAGGGCTATACAAAAACGTGGGCCTATACATACAATATTTCGCCAACGGATCTAGAACTCATTATGGTCAACAAAATCCAAATTTTATACAAATCCGTGATAAAATGTGACAATAACCATCAAAATACCGAGTGTCGGAAGACACCGTTATATGGAGGCTATACCAAAGCGTGGACCGCAGTTAGAACCAATTATGGCCAACAAATACCAATTTTTAGACAAATCCATGAAAAAATGTGGCAAAAATCATCAAAATACCGAATATCGAGAGGTACCATTGTATGGGGGCTATACCAAAGCGAGGACCTATACATGCAAAGTTTCGCCACCGGAGCTAGAACCCATTATGACCTACAAATACCAATTTTCAGACAAATCCGTGAAAAAATGTGGCAAAAATCATCAAATTACCGAATATCGGGAAGTACTGTTATATGGGGGCTATACCGAAACGTGGACCTATAATTACAATGACTCGCACACGAACTGGGACCCATTATAATCTGCAATTACCAATTTTTAGACATATCCGTACAAAAGTGTGGCAAAAATCGTCAAAATACCGAATATCGGGATGTACCGTTATATGGGGACTAAACCAAAACTTGTACCAATATATCTCATTTTCAATACCAACCATTCCAATTTATAGACATAATACAAATTATTCTGCTAAATTTTAACGCTCCACATCAAATAATGTGGCCTGTATCGTGATTTCAACAGACAAACAGACGGACATCGTTAAATCGTCTTAGAATTTTATGCTGATTATGAATATATATACATTATGGGGTCTACGACGAATATTTAGGGATGTTACAGACGGAATGACAAAGTTAATATACCCTTATTTCCAAGGTGGAGGGTATAAATATATGCTACATAGGGTCTTAAATGGTTATTACGTGTTTATTTTGATGGGTAACATACCATTTGTAGCATTTTTTTTCGTCCTGTTTCTGTAAGGCAATCGAAAGGCTTATAAAGAAAATGTACTTGTTTTATTTTACACGGATTCCAATGTCAAATTGAGACAATAATTTTTAAGAGTGGTGGTACATTAGTTCAATATGTTCAGAAGAATTAAAAAAAAAAATCACATAACAAAATTAAAACTTTTGGTATTATCTGGATGTCAATTGTTTTCAAATTTTAAATTTAATTTAAAAATTTAAGAAAAAAAAAAACATTTTTATACCCTCCGCCTTGTCAATCCGTCTGTAACATCCCTAAATATTCGTTGTCCATAAAATTGTCTATGCAGGTCCATTTCTTCGTATAGCCCCTATACAGGGTGAGCTGAAAAAAATCCAAACAATTTCGTCCGACAGCTGTTAAAATTATTCCAGTGACAGCTCATTATATTGTTTACAAGCTTACAAAAGCATTTTGGTGAGAATTTTCCAAAAAAAAGGTATTTGCCATGGTAGAATTACATGGTAGCCCTATCAGCTGTAGGCAACTTGATATGTCAAACAAATTGTTGTAATTCGAATTCGCTCTACATATACACAAAGAACGTAAATAATTATTAACATTGAAAATGTTGGAATTGTAAATTTTGAGATATTGCATGGTTTGTAAAAGAACGTATATTGGAGGACAAACTAAGTCCAATGCTTTCCTTAAGCTAACATTTGTATAAATGCATTCATGAGTGTCGTCACGAGTCACACATATAAAAATAATCCAATCATTTCATTTATCAATATCTAGAGCCAGTTAGTGCAAATATAGTTCTTGTCTATATCTTAATATTTACCATTTTAAGATTTCTTCTCTATCCTTCAAAATTGATATTGACTTAAAAATAAATTCATTCAAAGGATTCTTTTCCCTGTTCAATATTTTTCATAATTTAAAAGGCTATCGTCATTGCCCTCATGCAAACCAATTTGAGATAGAAAGAACCATTATAATATTCCGAATTTATTGATAATGTAAATAATAACAGTTTCATGATTATACACTGGAGAAATTATTAAAAAAAAAACACGAATTGAAATCCGCAAATAGGTTTTAAAAATCTGTTATTTAAGAACCGCAGTTATTCCAAAAATATCCACAATTTGAGACCCGAGGATATGCTTTAATCTTCACAAATTGAGATCCGGAATTTTTCTTCAAAATCCACGATTCGAAAAAGTTCTTGAATAATCAAGGATTTGATGTTTGTAGGAGTCTTTAATGTTTAGAAATCCACGATCAAAATCCAGAAACTTTTGTAGCAAAAGAAAAAATGGCACACCAAAGAACCACCACAAAACCAAATTTTAAAGCATCAAAGCTAATTTGGCCGGATATCTTTTGAAAATATGAAATCAATGTTACCAAGACTGCATACTGTGTAAGGATAATCGCAAATGTCCTTCGTTGGCACGCTTGAGACTACGCATTATGGGCGACCACTCCATTTCCATTCTCTATGATTTTCAATAAAGTTGTATTAAACCTGCTAAAAGATGCAGCGGCTTCAGCATTATTTTCAATCGATGTTGGAAGTTTCGAATGTTTGCATTTTTAATAGAAAAAAACAACAATTTTGAAAATTTTTAATTAAATAATTTGATTGGATAAAGCAATTAGCCCCAAATTTTGTGCTTCAAATCAATTCGCCCTGATTACAACTTTGACATATCAAGTTTCCAAGAAAGTTGCTTTGTTGTAATTTTCGCCTATGTTGCTACCTGGTATTTCTACCATGGTATTTGCGATGGAATTCAAAGAGGTCTGCTGAAAATGTTCACCTTCGGTTGACCCCCAGAACTCAACCACCAGCCATGGTAATGGTGTGGGCCGCCATAAATGCCGAATATTATCGCGAAAATAGTCTGGGGGGTATATTTAAGCCTTGGGCACGCAAACATTTTGGCCGCAGACCTTAGACATTCCAACAGGACACAGCTCCATCGCACTCAGCACGCGCCACCCATGAATGGTTACAAAATGAGGTTCGTCGCTTCATTTCCAGCGCACAATGGCCACCAAAATCTCCGGATACAAATCCGTTGGACTATTGTGTCTGGAGTATTTTGGAAAGCAAGGGTGGCACTAAAAAATACCAAAGTGTCGATCACCTCAAGCAAGCGCTACGCCGGGAATGAGCCAAAATACCTCAGAGCGACATTCGGGCAGCGTGGCCGGATTTGTCTAGAAATTGGTATTTGTAGGTCATAACGGGTCCCTGAGCGTGTGGCAAAACATTGCATGTATAGGTCCACGTTGTTGTATAGCCCCCATATAAAGGTACCTCCCGATATTCGGTATTTTAGTTTTTTTGCCACAT